CAGCACCTGTGCGGCGGCGCTTGCCATGTGTCCCTTCCCTTTGGCTGGGAGCCTCTCTTGCTCGCGGCGCCTCACTGCTCCTTGCTGCTGCTGCTGCTGCAGCAGCAGCAGCAGCAGCAGCAACAGGGGTTGCTGCTGCTGCTGGGCCCTGCGCCTCCCCTTCAGGTTCGAGAGCTGCGTCTCGCGGCGCGGCTGCTTCTGGTGCGCGATCTGCAGCAGCTGCTGGTGCCTTCTGAGCTGCTGCTGCTGCTGCTGCTGCTGCTGCAGCCGCCGCTTCGTCTGCTGCTGCTGCTGCTGCTGGTGCTGCTGCTGCTGCTGCGTTTTCCGCCGCCCACCTGGCAGCAAAAGTGGCCTCCGGATTTGCTGCTGCCTCAGAGGGCGTGCTGAGGAGGTTGCGCCGGCTGCTGCTGCTGAGGGGCGAGGGCCCGTCTGCTGCTGCTGCTGCTGCTGCTGCTGCTGCTGCTGCTGTGTCTGCTGCTGAGGCCCGCGGCGACAGCAGCAGCAACGGAGAAGAAAAGGTCGAAGGCAAAAAGGAGTGCCGGCGAGTTGTTCGGCTTTCGGGGCTTTTGGAGGCGAGGCCTTCTTCGCTCCAGTGTACAGACACTCCAGCAGGCCCTGCTGCTGCTGCTGCTGCTGCTGCTGCTGCTGTTTCTGCTGCTGCTTCTGCTGCTGCTTCTGCTGCTGCTGCTGCTGGAGGCGGCGGCGTTACGGCTGCCGCTGCAGCTTCCGGGACGGAAGAAGCTGCTGCAGCTTCCGCCGCGGCTGCCGCCGCTCCCTCTGCTGCTGCTGCTGCTCCCTCTGCTGCTGCTGCTGCTGCAGCTGCTGCTGCTGCTGCTGCTGCTGCGGGCTGCGGACTTTTGTGTAAAGGGTTAAAGGACATTTTGCTGCTGGTGATTTCTTTCAACTTCTGGACGGCCCCAGAAGCAGCAAGGAGCTCTCGGGCCCTTTCGAATCCGCTTTTGCTGCTGCTGCTTGCTGGCAGCCCGCTGCCCTTTGCTGCAGCAGCAGCAGCAGCAGCTGCTGCTGCTGCAGCAAAAGGCAGCGGCGTCGGCGGGGGGCCCCCCAGTCCCGGGGGCCCCGCAGGCACAAAGCGCTTCCGCTGCTGCTGCTGCTGCTGCTGCTTTGCTGCTGCTCTGTCTTCTTCTGCTGCTCTTTGGCTGTCTTCATTTTCTTTAGCTGAACTTGAAGAAGGAGACAGCAGCACGGGGGGCCCCCCGGGGGGCCCCCCTGGGGGGCCCCCTGGGGGGCCCCCCAGCGGCTCCAAAAGGGGCCCCCAGGGGGCCCCCAGGGGGCCCCCGCTGCTGCCAGGGGCCTCTTGGGGGCCCCCGTGGGGCAGCCCAGGCGCTGCTGGCTGCTCTTTGGGGGGCGGCGCAGCAGCTGCTGCAGCAAACGGCATTTCGGGAGAGCCGGAGCTGCAGCAGCAGCAGCAGCAGCAGCAGCAGCAGCAGCGGCAGCAGCGGCGCTGCCGCTAGCGAGGAGCAAGGAGGGCGAGTCGGAGCCTTGCAGCAGCAGCAGCAGCAGCAGCAGCAGCAGCAGCAAGCTGCGGAGTGGAGCAGCGGCGCAGGGGGCCCCACAGGCAGCAAGGAAGGGCTAGGGGGCCCCTGGGGGCCCTCAGCATCCTACAAGTTGGATTTGAATTAAAGAATAAAAAAAAAGAAATTGGAAAGTCTGGAGGGCCCCCGGAGTGGCTGGAGACGGCGTGGGCGGCGTGGAGAGAAGTGCGGGGCTGCGCTGCAGCAGTTCGAAGCTGCTGCTGCTGCTGCTGCTGCTGCTGCTGCTGCTGCTGGAGGCGAAAACGCTGAAAGGAGCTGCTGCGCTGCTGCAGCAGGGGCCCCAGCGGCAGGGGCGGCGGGCGGGCTGGGGGTGGTGAGGTGGGAGCCCCAGCGGGCGTGTGGCAGCAGCAGCAGCAGACCCCGTGCTGCTGCTGCTGCTGCTGCTGCTGCTGCGCATGTGCGGAAGGAACCGGGAAACTGCTGCCCAGCAGCCGAGACAAGGAGAATTCGGCGGACATTTGGAAGAACTCGTCAATTAGAACTTTTGTTTTGCCTTTTAGCGCCGCTTTCCGCAGCTTTCCCCTGCTTTCCGCCGCAGGCGACGCCGCAGCCGCGAGCACTGCCGCGTTCTCTCCAAGATGGGGTCCATTGTGCAGCCCTCGCGTTTCCTGGACGGTGAGAAAGAATTAAAATAAGAAAAGACTTCGCCAGCGCTTTTCGCGGAATCAAAAGTGAGGGGGTGTGAGGCGTTCAACTTGAACTGCGCGCGCGCGCGAGGTGTCTGTACACCTCAGAACTCGCCAAACTCCCTGCCGTTTTTCTCCGTTTTTTCTTCATTTCTTTTGTTTTCAGCGGCAGTTCTTGCGCTTTTCGCAATGCTCGTTTCCGCGTTGTCTCTTTACATGTTCGGGGAGCTCTGGAACGTCGCCCAAGACCCGAAGTTCAGCTCTTGGCGCGTCGGCTTCATCTTGCAGAAACTCTTCCCCTTCAAGGTGCTCTTTGCTTCCATTTGTCACTTTATTTTCCTCTTTTTGGCATTTAATTTCATTTATTTGTTTTATTTTCCTCTTTTTCCTTTTTTTTATTTGCTTTCGACCCGCAAACGCCCCAGAGATAGCCCAGACACGCAGCCAAAGACATTCCTGCACTCTACAGTCTGTGCTGCAGTTACTCTTCACGCCCATACACACACCACTCCCTGCTGCTGCTGCTTCTGCTGCTGCTGCTGCTGCTGCTGCTCCTTCTGCTGCAGCTGCTTCTGCTGCTGCTGCTGCTTCTGCTGCTGCTCCTTCTGCTGCTTCTGCTGCTGTTGCTGCTGCTGCTGCTGCTGCTGCCGTACTTATGTCTGCATTGTCCATTCCAGTAAATGCGCAGGTGGACTTAAATAGATCTTTTGCTGCTTCTGGATTTAAATCATTATTTTGAATTAAAACTTTTGCTGCTTCTAATTTAAATCATTTATTTAAATTAAATCTTTTGCTGCTGCTCGCAGAGGACTTTCGACGTTAACTTGACGCACATTTTGCTGTTCACAGTTGCCGTTTTGCTGCTGAGTCTGCGGTGAGTGACAGCTGCTGCTGCTGCTGTTGCTGCTGCTGCTGCTGTTGCTGCTGCTGTTGCTGCTGCTGCTGCTGCTGCTGCTGCTCCGGGCGGGGCCATTTGGGTTTTATTAATTTGAATCTTTTCGACTTTTCTTTGAGTCTTCAGATGCTGAATTAATTCATTTGGAATTTAATTGTTTTCTTTTATTTCTCCTGGTGTTTAAAGTGCGTCTTGCTGCTGCTGCTGCTGCTGCTGCTGCTGCTGTGTTTTGTGCTGCTGCTGCTGCAGCCCCGAGCTCCCCCCTGGGTACGAAGAGAGCAGCAGCAGCAGCAGCAGCAGCCGCAGGACGAGGACGCAGCAGCGGGCTGAGCCTGAAGAGGCAGCAGCTCCTGCTGCTGCTGCTGCTGCTGGCCAAAGGAGCAGCAAAAAGTAAAAGAGCTGCAGCAGAAGCGGCCAGAGCCGCAGCGGAGCTGCAGACAGAGAGTGCTGCTGCGGCTGCTGCTGGTTGCTGCTGCTGCTGCTGCTGCTGTGGTTGATGCAGCGGCAGCTGCAGCAGCAGCGCTGCAGTAGCACCGGGCGCAGCTGCTGCTGCTGCTGCTGCGGTTGATGCAGCAGCAGCATTGCGGCGGCGTTTATCGCAGCAGCAAGCGCTGCTGCTGCAGCTGGTTTGTGCTGCTGCTGCTGCTGCTGCTGGAGTTGATGCAGCGGCAGCTGGAGCAGCAGCGTTTGAGCAGCTTTCACTAAAGAGTTTCCACTGCAGCAGCATGTGCGCAGCAGCAAGCGCTGCTGCTGCTGCTGCTGCTGCTGCAGTGAATGGATGCGAGAAGGAGCAGCAAATAAACTTATTTAGGAATTAAAGTGAATTTATTTAAAGGTAAATAATAAAGTTGGAGAAACTTTTAATTCCCCCAAGTTCAGCACTCATAGGAGGCCAGCAGCAAGCGCTGTGGGGCCCCCACTTCACCCTAGCTGTTGCTGCTGCTGTTGCTGCTGCTGCTGCTGCTGCTGCTGCTGCTGCTGCTGCTGTGGCGCTGGGCGGTGGGTTTGCTGCTGCTGCTGCTGCTGCTGGCGTGCAGCTGCTTCCGCTTGCTGCTGCTTGCTGCAGCTGCTGCGCGTACAGCCGAAACCCCACACGGCCGCGCATGCAGCACAGCGCCGGGGTGTACGTACACCTCACGCCGCCGCTGCAGCAAACCGCCAGTTTCGGACTTCTGACAAAACTGTCATTTAAAAAAGATTTAAAAACTAAACCCTTTCCAACGAAGCTCTCCTCACGCCCAACCGCTACACAATAATAGACTCAAAAACCTACAAACGCCAACAGGGGGCCCCCAAGGGGCCCCCAAGGGGCCCCCGAGGGGCCCCCAAGGGGCCCCCGAGGGGCCCCCAGGGGGCCCCCAGGGGTCCCGCGAGGGGACCCCAAGGGGCCCCAGGGGGCCCCCAGCAGCCCTGAGGGGCCCCCAAGGGAGCCCCCATGGGGCCTCCAGGAGCCCTGAGGGGCCCCCAAGGGGGCCCCCGTGGGGCCCCCAAGAGCCCTGAGGGGCCCCCAAGGGGGCCCCGCAGGGGCCCCCAAGAGCCCTGAGGGGCCCCCAAGGGGGCCCCGCAGGGGCCCCCAAGAGGGCCCTTAGGGGGGCCCCTGAAGGGGAGAACCTGGGGTCCTCCTGGGGGCCCCTTGGGGGCCCCTTGGAGCGGCTTTGGGGGCCCCAGGGGGGCCCCTGGGGCCTCTGGAATGGTGCAGGTGGGGAGAAAACGAAAGTGAAGAAAGTGAAGAAGAAGTTTTGCTTTGGGAGGGTCTTGAGGTGTACGTACAGCTGGGAGGTGTACGTACACCTCAGGCGTGCGTGCTGCGGCGCAGGGCGCCGCCCCAAACCCTAAACCCTAAACCCTAAACCCTAAACCCTTCTTCAGCACTCGCGCTTGGTGGTGTGGGGCCCGCAAAGGCCCATGTCTATGTCCATTGTGAAGTCGTAGTCAATCGTAGGCACTACCGAAGAAATGAACTTCAGCAGCACTATCAACGCCAAGTCCGGCCTGCAGCAGCAGCAGCAGCAGCAGCAGCAGCAGCAGCAGCAGGGACGGTGGCGGCGCTGCAGCAGCTCGATTCGCCGCAGCTGCAGCAGCAGCAGCAGCAGCACCGATGCCAGCCAGTGACGCTGCAGCAGGCGGACTCGCCGCGACTGCAGCAACAGCAGCAGCAGCAAAGCAGAAGCTGCCGCTGCAGCAGCAGCAAGCTCTCCAGCAGCAGCAGCAGCAGCAGCAGCAGCAGCACGGAAGAAACTACGGGGGTGCACTTTCTGGGGTGTACAGACACCTAAACCGCGCGGCTTGAAGAGCAAAAGGCGAAGGAGAATCAAAAAGGAAATAAATTAAAAGATGGAAATAAACAATTAAAAAACAATTATAAATAATATAATTTATAAATAAAAGAATAATAAATGTTTTTTATTTTAAAATTAATTTTAAAATTAAAATCCAAAAGTCCCACCGAGGCTCAACTCCCTGAGACCTCCAGTGGTCCACGACCTTCTTCATCACCTGGGCGTGCCTGCACCCAAACCCTAAACCCTAAACCCCAAACCCTAAACCCTAAACCCTAAACCCTAAACCCTAGGGCCCTCTAAACCCTTCTGCATCCCTCTGCCCCACCTGCTGCGCCTGCAGCCGCGAGCAGCCGCCGCCGCGCCCCCACCCAAACCCCAAACCCTAAACCCCAAACCCTAAACCCTAAACCCCAAACCCTAAACCCTAACCCCCAAACCCTAAACCCTAAACCCTAAACCCTCACTTGCAGGGGTGAATGGAGGCCGTGGGAACCCCCGTGCAGGGGTGAGGGTCTACAGTGACGGTCTTAGCCGCATAATCGGTCAAAATGTCTTCGAAGATTTCCACGGGGGTTAAGGGGGTTCCACTCTGCTGCAGCAAACCCTAAACCCTAGGCCTCCCTAAACCCTCCTGCGGCTGCCCCCTAGGGTTTAGGGTTTAGGGTTTGGGAATTAGGGCCTAGGGTTTAGGGTTTGGACGCGGATTCGCCTTCAAACGAGCCTTCCTCCATCCCCCCTTTAGGGTTTAGGGTTTAGGGTTTAGGGTTTGTAGTTGAAAGAATCTAACTCTATTCATCGAATCTGCCAACCCTAAACCCTAAACCCTAAACCCTAGTCTCCACCTCCACGCCGCTGCTTAGCGTGCTGGCCTCCCTCTACGGTCCCTGCGCCCTACGCCTACTGGCTCATCTTAGGGTTTAGGGTTTAGGGTTTAGGGTTTAGGGTTTAGGGTTTAGGGTTTACTTCGTTGTAGCCAAAAAGCCAAAGCCTGGGGGTTTGAAAGTACTTGTCGTAGGTAATGCTCAAGTCGTATGTCCTTACGCTCAGCACGTCTGCAGCACAAACCCTAAACCCTAAACCCTAATCACAAACCCTAAACCCTAATCACAACCCCTAAACCCTAATCACAAACCCTAAACCCTAATCACAAACCCTAAACCCTAAACCCTAAACCCTAGGCTCTCCTTACCCGCATCGGGAGCGTTGCGAACGAAATAAGAAGTTGAAGAATCCGCACACGCCGGATCGTCCTGCATTCCAAAACCCCAAACCCTAAACCCTAAACCCTAAAACCCTAAGCCCTAACCTTAAGATCCTAAACCCTAAATCCCTAAACGCTAAACCCTAAACCCTTAATCCCGGAATATCCCTCTAACATGGAAACAAGGCTGAATTGGAGGAACGCCTAGAACAAAGAAACTAAACACAATTAGGGTTTAGGGTTTAGGGTTTAGGGTTTAGGGTTTAGGGTTTAGGAGGGCCTGAGTTAAAACTTGCCTCGCAAAGAAGACTGTCGAGGTCCCGCAGGTTCTTTAAGTCAGGCAAAGCTCCACCCTGCAGCCCACGAACCCTAAACCCTAAACCCTAAACCCTAAACCCTAAACCCTAAAGCCTAAACCCTAGACCCTCTACTAGACCCTTTAAATCCTCAGCGCCAAAAACCCTAAACCCTCGGCCGCGCTTACTGATGTGTCGCGTAGCGAAGACCCGGAGCCGCCTAAACAAAACCCTAAACCCTAAACCCTAAACCCTAAACCCTAAACCCTAAAGCTCCAAATCCGGCCCCTAAGCTCTAGAACCAAACCCTCTTGCAACTTCTGTGCAGAAACCGCAGCGGCGCTGGCCAGCCCTAAACCCTGCCACCAAACCCTAAACCCCAAACCCTAAACCCTAAACCCTAAACCCTACCTGGGGGTTTTTCTAGAGGGTTTGTCTCTCCGCCAGAAACCGAAACCGACAAAACCTCTTCGGGCTCTTCCGCCTCCACCGGCAGCACCCACCCCTCCGCATCCTCCCTGGCCTGCGCGCCAAACCCTAAACCCTAAACCCTAAACCCTAAACCCTAAACCCTAAACCCTAGACCCGCGGCCTCCTCTCCATCTCCCGCCCTCCGCGGGCCCCAAAAGCCCGCAAGCCCCCAGCCG